GTTATATTGTTCTGAATGGCAGGTTGTGCTGTGAAACGGTCATCCATCTCTCTGGCTTGAAACAGGAAATTAGTCTGATAACCGGGGCTCAAATTAAGAAGCAGAATTAGCTGATGAAAGAGCATGGAGCACAGAGGTACGGGAGTGGGGAGAGGCCGGGATTGGAAAAAGCAGCCCAGGAAAAGAAGGATGGATGGGCAAGTGTGAGAAGCCCAGGCTGAGAAAGCAAGACTAGATAGACCAGGACTTGCTAGCAAGGAGAACAGGCCCATCAGAGTGGGGAAAAGCCAGGAACTGGGGTGGGAGCAGATGGGAAGAGCTGGGGAGGAAACCTCAGGCGTGGGGCTAGCAGGTAGGATAGCAGCTTCCCACAAAGGACATCTCATCCGAGAAGACAGAGCAGGACAGAGGGTGTTTCCTTCTCATCCTCCCTTTGTTGCCAGGAGGCGAGCTGGCAGGGCATCCTGCTCCTCCTGCCGCCGGTCTGCGCAGCGCTAGCAGCTTGTCACCTTCTCTGCTATTTCATTCAGCCCAATGGCGGAGGCCTGTGCGGACCCGAGGGCTCCAGGTCTGCAGATTAACCGTGTGGCTGTCGGCACAACATCGCATGGCGGGAGGCGGTTGTCCGGCTTCCTGTTGGTAGGAACCTAGGAAACTCCTGTCCTTTCCTCAGGCTCTTAATACTCTCTTTTTAACATCAAATTAAGCGCTCGGGGTTAGAGAGTGCTGAAATTAAAGTTGCTTATACATCCTGTAGCTTTTTCTCTACCACAATTTTTTTTCCCCACAAAGCGTATGCTTTGCTCAATAAGAGACATGAGCTGTGCGCTTACAATGCACGTTTTGTCTGGCTTGCTGCAGAAGAAGGAAAAACGTGCAGTGTGAGGGTCAGGGAATTACTTGAAGGAAATGGCTGTAGTAGCCGCAGGAACATGATCTGATCCTCCAGGCCCGCTGAGTTTGTCTGTGGTGTCGGACTAGTCATTTTGAGCCAAACTTTTATCATTAGTTAGGCTATCATTAGCTGCTGTACCTAACTCGTTTGAAGATGCCTGATTCTAGAGCCTGGAAGAAGATTGGTAAAAATACTGCAGGCTCTTTGCTGAAACAGGAGTTTCAGAAACACATTTCTTAGGCATTCGATTCAAGTACTGCTCAAATCAGCAGATACTTCTGAAATTGTGCCATCTGTGCCTTAGCTCACTCTCCATGTAGTGGTAATAATGCTACTTCTAAAAGAAGGTTGTGGGAGATTTTGAAAATAAATTAGCTTAATGTTTTGTGATGCAGTCAAGAATAAAGAATTGGATGAGGATGAAGACGGGAGGAATAAAACAGAGCTGAAAGTATAGTATGAAGTACAGTGTCATGCACCTAGCATCTGATGCAAATGTCTCCTATAAACATGGAGCTCATCAACTGGAAACTACAAAGGAGGAAGAAAGGTCTGGGAGCATTGCTAGATCTTGCGATAATTGAGGCAGCGCTTTCATGATCTGTTACACTGTGATCTTAAAAGGTCTCAGTGGCTCTCAAAGAAGCACTAATGCTGTTGGGCTTTTGGGAAGACTCATCTGGACACTTGTATGTACTTCCAGCTTTACAGCAGAAAGATGAGAGCAAACTGGAGAAAATGCCCAATGAGGCTGATAGCATGGTCGGAGCAATGAGTGGCCAGTTTTAAAAGGCAAAGAAAAACGCGTGGCTTATTGAGCCTTGCGAAATGAAGGTGGAGGGATGAGTAAGACAGCAGTTTGGAAATATACCTGAAGGATTAACAACAAGATGGAAGCTAGCTGAGCTGAGGTACAGTTTTTGGTTTTACAGTAAATAGGTTTGAAATGAATGGAAATAAGTTTAGGTTGAAAATTAAATAGTTTGTCAGTATCAGAGTAGTGAGAGACTGGGGCAGTGTCCCAAAGGGTGGGACGGAGTGGAAGGAAGACACCTTGTTGGGCTGGAGGTGAGGCTCGAGCTCTTTGAGAAGGGTGCGAGCAGGACCTGGACTCGGGCTCAGGAGGCTGTAGCCAGTTAAATGTGTTAATTACAGCAGATGCAGCATGCACACGGACATCAACTGCGCGTGGGCAGTTGACCTTTTCCTTCTCTCAAGTGAAATCAAGTCATTAGGAATTATCTCTAAATATTCTGGCCCTGTACTTCAGAGCTTGAGCTGTTTTAATCTTAGTATGCCTTGGGGAGCCAGATTACCAGGGTATCTGCCCTGGAGAGTCTGGGAGCGGATGAGGAGATCTGTTTCAGATGGCTGGTTTTTAGCGTGCAGCCAGAGAGGTCTGTTGAGTGCCTGAGCATGTGTGGAAAGGAGGGGAGGTATGCGCTCTCCATTAGCATTTCCAAGATGCGGAAAGCCTCATATCTGTTCGCAGGATATCCACTTGTCCTGGTTTATGCAGCATGTTTGAATGGAAAACTATCAGTTGTGTAAGGGCTGAAGGAAGAAATACATCGTTGGAGTGGGAACGTTGCCATTCTCAGCCTTTGGATGGCCTCCACTTCATGTTTGTCACATGCAATTCATATCTGTAAGGAACATGTGTCACTGCTGATGTGATGTGCCATGTCATAAAAGCTCTGGTGACATTTTGTGACCTCTTATAGTCTAACAAAAGAGGTTTGCAACATATAACTGCCATCTGCCATGGCAAAGCAACTTCCCAGTTCTCTAATCACATACGCCTCTTGTGAAATGCTGCATCACCTCGAAAAAAATGAGCATATTAATGGAGGAAGCTTGTCATTTCACTCATTCCCAGATTCTTTACATAATTCATCTATTAACTTTTTTTTTTTTGCTTATTAAGAACCCTGAGGGGTAGAATTTGCAGCAAATCCATGATAGCTTTAGGAGTTCCGTCTCATTAGAGCTGTATTTACTTTCTGATTTTTTGGTACTCTGAATTGGAACCATTCTCCCTACGATCTTAATCTTTTGCAAATACTCATGGGGTTCACAGATGGAAGCGTGAAAAGTCTCAGGAACATGTAACCGGACTTTTGGAGGGGTGTAAAAAGAGGAGAGTTTTCCTCATTAACCTGTGTTTGTTCATTTAGTCCATTATGGGGACTGAGATGTGCTAATTATTTTAAATTGATTCAACTTGTTTGCCAATTTGTCACAGCAATAGCCTCAGATGTGGGATAAGGAGACCAAACTTTGGCTTCAATTTTTGCCAGGCTGACAGCTTATATAATGTACAATTTTTGAATCAGTAGGGGCAATTTTTACAGCCTGAAAAAATAAGCAGAGTGTTTCATGCTTGGATGGGAGAGAAGAGCACTTCATCCACTTATCCTTTACTTTGCATATTGCTGTTGTTGGGTGCTCTAGCTTTTACACGTAGATAAGACAAACTTTCTAAAGAGAGAGTTTATTGCAGGAAATGTGTACATATTAGAGGCCACATATACAACACGCTCGCGTTAATTTATGAGTGACAAGGAGCAAAAGCTACTTCAGATGGTGCCGAGGTAGAAAACTGCATCTCTACAGACCGTGGTGAGAGGCAACAGATCTACCTCCTGTCATAAACAGTGCTTTTGTGTGTTTTCCAAGACGCGTGAAAGCATTGTCTAGCCCTCACAGCCATCAGTGAAGAAGTTGGGTCTGTTTTTATCGCTGTCTTACAGGCAGAGAAAGAGGTACGCTGAAAAATGAAGTGACAAGACTAGCAAATCTGTGTAAGCAGCAAAACAAGATACCAGAAGCCCTGGCTTGCCAGCCTGTCTCATTACATTATGCCCGTGTGCCCTGGGCAAACCCCATTCTTTCGACTGTGTTTGTACATAGCATTGGCGATGTAGCAGGCTTCAGTACTGATTCTAATACTGATTTTTAGACATAAGCTTATCATTTCCCTGGTATGACCTATCCTCAGGCTCCCTATTAGTAAAAAAGTCTTGTCTTTTCTTCATTGGGGCATTGAGAGATGATGCTAGCTGTGTATAGGTGTCACAGAATGGATAAATTAAAAAATCACACAGGGACAAGAGAAATCGAGACGCCTGTGAGCATCGCTCTGGATGCAAGCGTTCTGAGGAGGCAGAGGTACCTTCTCAGTCCAGCACTCGCAAGGATAAGTCATTACACTGTGCTGCTCCCCTCGTACTGGACCATATGGTAAGGTCCCACTGTCCGTCTGCTGCCCTAAAGGTCCTACTCGCAGGTGGAGCGATGAAACTGAAAAGCCTGCTGTGCAGGAGTTCAGTAGGTTTTTTGTAACTGCATTGCCATGCAACCGTTTCACTTGCCTTTATGTTTGACCTGTTTTTATAGATCCTGGTGAGGTCTGTAAAACGAGCTTATTCTTAATTGCCATTCATACAATTCTTATCTTGCCATTCTTAATTTCATGAAGTTAATACGGGGGTTAGATGGGATAAATTTTTGTATTTGCTGCTCTGCAGTAATGACTATTTTGCATGTTTTGGCCCTGAAACAGAAGGAGCAGCCATCTTTCCATCTTTTTTGCATCAGTTGCAGAGTGAAAATGGTTATACTAGCAGTTACTGCGGAGTGGTTGGTGCAGTGTAAAACTACACCCTGCTTCATTGTGAAATTAGCCTGTTCGTGTGGCCTGGGAGAGACCAGTGCAAGCACCTGAAACAGACGATATTTGAACTCCTAAGAGTATATCGTGAAGCTTTTTATCACAGCCCAGTTGTAGCTGACATTTAAAATGTGCAGGAAGAAAGAGGGAGTGAGATTAGGAGATGTCTCAGTGGAGGTACTGCAGCCCATCTGGGCTTTTCAGAGCGGGAAGCTGTACCCAACTGGGTATCACTGGATGGCATCAAAATGCCTGCTTTGTTGTCTGCTGAAATAATAACCAGGTACACTGTGTGTGGGAAGGGATTGTCAGGGGGAGAAAAGCTATTTAGTATCAAGCTAAGAAAACAGCAAAGCACTGCTGTTTAAAAGGCCGTATAAAGAGCTGGGCCTGTCGCTTTCCTTCCAATGCTTAGCAATTTTTTCATTTTAGGAACTTTCCGCTGTACTTTCTGTGAGACCGAAGTGGAAGAAGATGAGTCGGCGATGCCCAAAAAGGACGCAAGGACACTCGTGGCAAGATTTAATGAGCAGATTGAGCCCATCTATGCGCTGCTTCGTGAGACGGAAGATGTTAACTTAGCCTATGAAATCCTCGAGCCAGAACCCACAGAGATCCCTGCCCTGAAGCAGAGGTGGGAACGCTCCTGGTCTTCTCTCGCTCCGCTGCTTCCTTGTAGTGCGTTCATCTGCTCTGTGAGGCTTTCCCAAACCTTGTGCAACCTCTGCCTGCATTGAGGACTGACTTGTTCAGCACCAACTATGCAAGCGACTGAAAGATTCCCCAAGGAATGTGTGGTTTACAAGGAGACAAAGGGCCGTAACCATTTTTTACTAACCAAGGCAGATGACTATTCTTCTGGTCAGCCTCCCGCATGTAGTTTTCCGTGGGGTGGGATATTCGAATTACCTGCTGCTTGCTGTGCTGCAGCTGATATGTATACCAAGCCCTTGCCCCAGTATTTAAGAAATGCAAACTGCAGCTGTTTGGCAAAGCTCTGAAGGTGCCATCTACACGGTCTTCTTTCTCTCAAACCCTTACCTTTCATATATTCCTTTTGCTTCTACCCAGCTTTTGCGTTCTAGTTCAAAGACGTTACTTGTAATAAGGGTATTTTTTACTTCTGATTTTCTCCTACTTGTTACATACCTCTTCTTTTCAGGAGGAGACCATGTTGCAGTCAAAAACTCTTTAAAATGTTCCTACCCATGGGAAATGACACTTTCTTTCAGAACATTCCTAGCTGTACAAAAACAGATGATGTTTAAATAATGCAGAAAGATGTGGGGAGCTGTCAGTTTTGTCAGCTGTGGTGAAATGTGATGCACTTCTCTGTGTTTAAAAAAAATTAATTAAACACACGGGGTGTGGGGGGGAAATGTACCACGAGGGGAAGCATTGCCACAGTGCCTTGGGGTGCTTGGCTTTAGTTAATGGGAGAGCAAGCAGCATACTCTTTTTTTCTCTCAGGCTAACCTTGAGAGGGAATGTTCCTCATATATTCATGCTAGACAGTTTCTAATTAATATAATAAAAAATTCTTTGTCCATTCATAGTCTTTTTCTAGCCAAGAAGGTAGCTAATTTTGCTCATCATTCTGATAGAAAAACAGAAGCAATATAGAGACGGGAAGAGATTTTTCCAAGGTCACTCAACATGTCTTTGGTGATATGGGGAGTCTTTGAAGCCTTTATGCCCAAGCTGAATCACCAGCCTTTGCTTTAAAAACCTTTTTCTGTAGTTTGAGTAGTAGAACTGGGATAACCCCACCAAAAAGAGAGTAATTTCCCAGCCTTCCCCTTCTGTGCACAAGAAATTATCACAGCAGAATCCTGGTGCAGTCCCATGATTAAATAGCGGCACCCACTTACTTGACTCTTAAATACTTAAAAAACATTGTAAATGATTAATTACTTTGTGCAAGGAATGACAAAATAAATAGGCGGCTTTTTAAATGCTTACTTGAACACAACTTGCTTCAGCACATACAATGATTTAATTATTTATTAACTCTTATTAATTCAAAGCAGCTAATTGCATGAAAGCGCTGCTGTGAGATTTATTTTTTTTTTTAAGGTGCCAAACCCTGGGTTATTTATTCCCTCCGTTTTTATGGAGTCTTGAGTGTCTGAAATCATTTGCAAAACTGACATTTGGTGATTCTGAAACAAACAGAAAAGGTCATGAAGTGCCTGCATCGTCTCTTTGCACCGACGCAGGCAACTTCATGTGTTTTCAGGAGAGTTACAGCTCTAAGCGACCACACTGGCATTGTATAACTGTCATTCACCTGCCGTGGGAAACTGGGCAGATCTTCATTTATATCTTTCTAGGAGGCCATTAATTTTCTTAATCTTGGCAGGGCATGAATTAGCCCCACGGGTTTCAAAATAAACCCGCTTCACCTAAGCCCTTCTCTGTGGTTTTCTAAAACAGATGGATTTTAATGTCCCCTCCATTTTCTTATGTCAAAATTGCATGATTTTATATAACAAAAATCTTCACAGAATTAAATTTCTGCGGTCATGCTGTCAAGGACTATGGGTTGTCTGTTGTGAAGTTGGAGCTCTTAAGAGCAGCTAAGTGAAAAAGTGCTTTATTTCAAACACAGCACAAAAGGAGTTATCCCCATTATGCAAGACCTTTTCTTAATAGTCTGGGCAGGATTGAGACGAAAATTTCAAGTTGTTCCCCCATTGCACGGTGTGGTTTCTGTGGGCCACACCTCAGCTATGTCAAGGATTATTTATGTCGCCTTTAAAGGCAGCTAATGGCTCATTAAGGGATTTCCATCAAGGTAAAACAGATGGTAACAGAGCAAATGTAGCCACATCTGGGCCACTGAGTTCCTGGCTGCAGGATGGCCATGCAAAGTCTAGACCTAGGTGGGGAAAAAGCAGATCTTGGATCTAAGAGAGAGATAGATTTAAGAGCGCGCTCCCTTCATCTGCTCTGGACTGCCCATAAGGCAACGCGCGCATCTGGCCTTTTGCTGGTGCCTGATCCATGGTGTTTAATCCTGTACTTTGGAACAGGGTTGCTAAACAGTAAGATCTCTTCTGGCAGTAAGGAGTAGTCCCCCGGTCACGTAGTCGTGAGGGGCTGCTGACTTCTACCAACTCCTCCTGCTGA